TAGTCGACTACTGCCGGGTTGACCGGCGAGCGGAAGCCGCCCAAGATGGCGGCGACGACACCAATAGATGCTGCCGCGCTTGGGCCTTAGCCTCATTCACACAGACACACACGCATGATTTGCGCGCGCAGGCGCAATAGACTGTGATGTTCGTATCACTTATAAATAAAAATAATTCGAACTCTCGTAATCTAGCTAATGAGTAAGAATTTGTTTCCGATGATTTTACTCTAATTGTCAAGAAAATATATAAATGAAATAAATATAACCAATAAGTAAATCAAATATACATAAGTAATTGCAAAATATTGAGGAAAGTCAGACAATGCCCTAGTTTCTTATGGTGCGAATTGTCCCATAAGCAGAGCTAGAGTCTTTCTTGGATAGGATATAATTCGGCCCAAGTTTCTTATAGCGCGAAATGTTCTATAAGTCGAGCTCAAATTATAAGGAAAGGTTAGTCTTGCTTAGTAAATCACAATGAGAGAAAGAACTTAGGCGTTAATCCAAGTTTATTCAGACTCATGCGCTCACTTTGCAAGGCTAGAAGTGAATGAATCTAGCCTGTGCAAAGGTGGGCCTATTTATACACAGATTTTCCCGCTTATTATTGCAGGAGAGATTTCATCGAAAATTCGAGAGACATTCGCGAATTTTGAGAAATGATTTTTCTTAATTTACAAGTAAATAGCCATTAATATTAAGTTTTTAACACATGTAAATTTTACAGAATTAGTTATTTGTTGATTTTATACAATATACAATTATCGCCAATAGTGTCGTCAAAAGTTATTAACTAATAAAGTTAATTAACGTGATATTACATTATTTACAATAGAAAATTGTTAAAATTTCATATAACCTTAAAGTTGATTAATTTTGGAAGTATTTTCCAAAATTAATAATTTAAATTAATTAATAACATTTGAATTATGACTAATTTTTCATATTTGTAACGGTTTTCTTCTAATCTTAACATGCGATTATTTGATTAATTATCTAAGATTTCTAAATCCTAACATTGTCATTATCAAGTATTAACTTAATATTTTCGTTCTATATATAGCTTATTGTTTAAATAAATTATTAATTGTTTATTTATTAATAACAGTTGTTATTTAGCTGTTATTAATGAAACCAATTCTTACTCATGTTCTATGCTTATTCATTTTACATATAAATTATTTATATTTTTCTAATATTTCATATGTTAATAAATAAATTAACTTTACATATCGATATTCATTATAAATTTATAATTGAATGAGATATTGTGAATCTGTATGTTAAAATCTATATAATTGATACTTTGTTATATTCAAATTATCTATAATTAACATATTTTTCTCAATATTATGGTTCATTATATCTATGTCTATTATTTGTGACGTCACGCTATTTGTTTTGACTCGACTTTTATTTGTATACAGTCGCGTAAACAGTGAGGTAGCGCCGCTTAATGTATTGTTTTGGCTAACAGGTAAATACGTTAGACTAGTTGCAGTCATTTAATAAACAGCTCATAGATAGGACCGTTACAAAACGAAATTGTTCATGTTAATTAATGTTGCGATGCAACATGAATATTGCTTATTGATGAGTATGCTTATGTAAAAAAAGTTTTTGGGATGATGAATACATATCATTTATATATATTTTCTTCTTCTTCTCATATATACAAGTACTTCCATAAAATTAAGGCCTAATTCCACTAATTGTAGTTGAAAGTCTATCAATTCTCTATCATTTACCATCTTATAGACTGCAATAATGTAAAGGTTAGATAGGCGTTCATTAAATGTGGTACTGTTTCGGCGCTACAGTTTTAAACAACAGTCACTTTTGCTCACTACCGGTAGTGTTGGTACAAAATAATCGAACTAGATATTTTTAGTGATATTACCAGAGTTGCGATTCGTGTCCGTATCCATCCGCATCATGGAGACCAGTGGTGGGTAGGTAAATTACCATAGGTAAAATACATAGTTTTTGACACGTAATTTACAATGTATATTACCTCTCGAACTTTCAGAGTTTTTGACAACACGTTTTGACATCTTTTCGGCCATCGCCGTGGGATGGCGCGCCGACGCGGTGTGCCGGTACAGCCGATGCGGTACCGGTCTAAGTCAGGTCTTTTAAAATCTGTTAGCAAAGCATGCACTCTTCCTGCAAATCCGTTATCCACGACACTTTTTGCTAATAAATTGCCGTTATGACTATTACACGTTACATGCCAAATCCCAACAAGTTAACCCATGAGAATCATCACAGCTGCACCGTCACTGATAACAGCGTATATATTAATATTATATTTTTCTCTTGCCATTCCAATACATTCGTCAACCACTTAACGCAAAGCTTCCCCAGTTTCACGATGAGTACTGAAATTCCAGGTGTTCAAAAAAATGTACTTTTTTCGCTGCATGTTGTCTAAACGAAGCACGGTAACAACATTTTGTTTATTGGCCGCCTTATTTTTCCATCCGTTTATTAACAAAACTAAATTATTTACACCCATATTGGCTATTGATTGCTGTAACTCGTTGAATCGATTACTAAGATTACTGTTGGAGAGAGTCTTATTACTTGGAATAATGTAATTTGGATTTAAGGCTTGAATGAAATTTCTAAACAATGGTGATTCGACTATTACGAAAGGTATGTTGCATCCAAAAAAAAATAGCCCAAGAAATCTGTCCAATTCATTACGATCAATATTAGCTAAAAAAAATTATTATCATTATAAATATGAATTCAAAACATTTTAATATAGACTATTTTAGATCATCTACATTATTATTGAAAAATATCGTATATATACCTGACATTTTAATAAATAATCCAAACAAGAAAACTAGGAAAAATCACTAATTCCTGAACAGTTAATAATATGTATATGATTTTTCTGAAATATGATTCGCTTCTTCACTTTGGTATAAGATTTGAGGTGAATAACCGAAATTTTCAAATGAAGAATGATAAATTATCTGGTACTAGTACTATTATTACTGTTTAGTGTTTATTGTGAAAATTAATTTTATAAAAACTGTGATAATTGTTACATTTAGGTTGTTAGTTTACTGTTGGAGATAAATAAATAACACCGGGCTTTCTTAGCGTCAAAGGATCAAAGGTCGAATTAAAAATATTCAAATTAGAATTTCAATAGCAAAGTACTGTGGCGGTCTCGTGGTTCATTGTCTCGCGCCAGATGGTGCCGACCACGCACGAGCGGCAGGAAATACGCTCACTGCATTTATAAGCCCGCATAGCGGCCTGACCACCCCGAGCGTATGAGGCAGGTGTTATCGGCCGTCGAGCCTCACTGACGAGTCCCGCCGATAACACCGGGACGAAACGCTTTTTCTGCCTTACCAACCGCACTCTTCTTTCTACCTCACGAGTACGAGCCTGGCTAGCTCGTTCTCGTCCAACCTTTTCCGATCGACATCGACACAGTCACGATCCTCTCTATATTCCGACAGCCAAAGTGGTGACCCCGACGTGATCTCTCTGGCGCTTACCGCCACCTAAGGTGGGAACTGAGGTTGGACCTGACGAACCGATCAGGGTGTCCAACGGAGAAGCCTACACGCGGCTCGCACACCCTGTCGGTAACCCGCTACTTCGTTCGCTGCTCCTTCCGCTACCCCGCTCACATGCTCGCAGGCCGCACGCGCGTCTCGCATGTTCGGAGCCCAAACGCACGCCTCTCATGCCCGCAGCACACACGTCTCGCATGATCAGAGGCAACAAGTAGAGCAAGTCCTCTCGCCTACAAGTATCAGCTATCGTCAGGCATTCGGCATTTCCACTCGTCCTCCCCTGCTTCGCTTCACTCCGCCTCTTTCCTCATATCGTGACTCGAGCCCTGCTTCGTCACTGGGGGGAAGTCCTGTGGCGGTCTCGTGGTTCATTGTCTCACGCCAGATGGTGCCGACCACGCACGAGCGGCAGGAAATACGCTCACTGCATTTATAAGCCCGCATAGCGGCCCGACCACCCCGAGCGTATGAGGCAGGTGTTATCGGCCGTCGAGCCTCACTGACGAGTCCCGCCGATAACACCGGGACGAAACGCTTTTTCTGCCTTACCAACCGCACTCTTCTTCCTACCTCACGAGTACGAGCCTGGCTAGCTCGTTCTCGTCCAACCTTTTCCGATCGACATCGACACAGTCACGATCCTCTCTATAGTACGTTGGTGTAACACTGCTGCGCATGCGCAATAGTATTTGGAAGTTTTTGACGTTTTTGACAATCTGACATGGTTGTTGACGTTGTTTACAGCTTCTGACATGTACATGTCGAAAACCTCAAAATCGTGTCATTTTCCCACCACTGATGGAGACTATACAGTCTCCATGGTCCGCATCCATATGTACACCCAACGTGGATTGAATCGCGACCCCCCCAGTTAGGTTGGTATGAGAATTCCGTCGTTGCATCGGAACGAAGAAACCGCGGGAAAATTCTATTGTAGATAGTAAATAAATAAATAAATAATAACTTATCTAAATGCCAGCATAACGATAAATCCTTGCTGAAGCAAAAGCAGGTAAAAGCATAAGAAACTCGGAAGAAACATTTAAAATAGACATATACACGTGTAAACAGGCTTTTTCAGGTCTGCTATTCGAGCTTTGATTTTGACTGCTACTTTCAATCCGTAACGGTGGTTTTCAGATCGGTCATAGTATAACGCTCGTTCTTAAATTATATAATTAAAACCTAAAATCAAATAATCATGCATCTAAATTCATTGTTCGGCAAACAATTAATTTTAAACCTAAAAACAAATTAGTAACGTTTTAGCTTTTTATCGTATCTTAAAACGAATTTTCATTTTTGAATTTTCCCGCGGTTTCTTCATTCCGATGCAACGACGGAATTCTCATACCAACCTAACTGAGGGGTCGCGATTCAATCCACGTTGGGTGTACCTATGTGACCGGGGCCTAAGTGTCAGAATCGCTCTGTGAACACCCTAAAAAAGTGTAGATATATGTCAAGATAGATCATGTTTGGATAAACATAGTCAATTTGCGTTAATAAATTTATTTTTTAATTTATTATTGCAAATAATAAAAAAACAATGTTTGAAGATGAAGAATGGAATATCAACGAGGTAACTTATCAGTATGTGAAATAACAGAAAAAATATGATAACAAAAACTAATTGCTTTATAATTAATCTAGGATGATTTGAAAGATTTCAATAGTGATGACTTCATTCATGATAATAATGACAAAGCTGAAAATCTATTACCAATAAAAAGTGTTGAGATAAAAAAGCATTCCGTTTTGCTGAATACTTCTGGATTACATTCCAAGGTTTCTGATAATCTTCAAAATAATGTGAAATTCCAACCCAATGAAGCAGTATCAATAGCTCAGAAAAAAGTAGTTCTTGACATATTTAAAAATAATTCTTGCTCTCATCAAGATTCAAAAATTCATCAACAAAATTCATTGATTAATGATAATGAAAAATTATTTGAATACACGTCTATTGTCACAGGCGAACATGGAAAAGAATTAATTCTAAATGTTTTTCAAAAAAATATTGAAAAATCTAATAAGTCTGTTGTTAAATCAGTATTGAAAATTTCTGATCATGAAAATAAATTCAAGCGAAAAAAAAATGTAGCTTTTGTAGATTCTCCAGGTGAAACTAATATTGCTAAAAAGATATGTATTGAAAAAATAAATAAATTACAAGAATTAAAAAGTAATGATAAATACAATGATCAAGAAAATCAAAGGTTAGATTTACAAAAGTTGTCAATTCATAAAAGTATTAAAGTATCACGTGTGAAGCAAGCTATAATTAGAAAGTTTCCTGGACCAGCAGGAATTTTACCAGATGAAGTCAATGAAAATGATGTTATTGATCTTGACTATTTAGATGAAAATAAAAATAATAAAAGTAATCAATATGCTGATATTTGTTCCCAGAATACAAAGAATTTATTTTCAACTGGAGCATGGCAATTAATGATGGATGATTTACCTGCAGGTTTTGAACTTTGTGATATAGCGACTATTAAGGAAAATGCTTTACAGTATAGTAAAACCTATAAAAAGGTACCTTATTTAGCAGGCATTGTTCAATGTATAGATTATAAACCCAATGATCCTCATATTATTTTAAAAGATCTGTCTGGCAAAGTAGACGCATGTATCCATCACAGTATCTGTAAGTTATATCCTAATGCACTTGGAACTAGCGTTGTTATTCTTGCTAAAGATATTGGATTGATTGTTACAAGTAAAAAATTTGTGTGTGTCATTATTTCACTAAACAATTTAGTAAGTATCTATTCAGATGAAGCAAGATTAGTTGAAACATCTCACTTAAAAACACTACTTAAAAATGACAATGTAAATCAAAATCTGCATGAATCTGAAATCAGTGTACTCGATGAAATTGAGTGCCAGGATAATATTGAAACATTGAAAACTCATTCACAAGATATTGAAAATAAACTTCAAAAAGAATCTGGATTAATTTTAAAAAATTTAAAAAAAATTAATAGTTCAGGTATTTCAGAATTAGATATTGGTAGAAAAGATAATTCACAAGAATTTGACTTAGATGAAGACAATGCTTGGCTTGGCATTAATATTGATGAATTAAATTCCTTTAAACCTAATCAGTTTCCATCATCAACCCCGATAGATGCCAATGAAAATAATGCAAATGAAGTACATTTTCAAATTAAAAAATCTGAACATGTCTTGTCAAAGATAACTAAACATTCATCAGAATCAGAAAAAATTCAATCAGATTTAAAACTTTCAAATTCTGCAGATAAACAAAAAATGATATCAGATAAATTATCAATATTTAGAAATACCAATAACACATCTATGCCATCTACAGCATTACCTGTCATAAGTAAGCCATTTGAATCAGAAGGGAATGATACAGATGATGAAATGCTATCTCAATTAGATGTAGATGCTATTGCAGCAAGTTATAAAACTCAGAATTGTTAATTGTTTAAAGTTATGTTAGAATGTCCAGTATTATTAATTTATACTTTATTAAAAAAATGTTAATATAAGTTTTGTACTAGTACAAAAATATATAAGTGTGTTTGTTTTAAATATAGTGAATATTTTTTCATACTGTTGATAACTTATAGTAATAAACAGATAGAGTATTAAAATCATCTAAAATTACTATAATATACCTACCTAATCTAAGTATACAGTTATATAGAGCAGAAAATATATTCAATAAATTACAGTCTATCAATATGATATATGAACACGTCAAATTTGTCTCACCTTTATCTAAATAATTTTTTTAAGCAGTGAAAAGTTCAGAATTGTAAAAAAATTGTTAGTCCCTAAAATATTGATAAATTTTTCTTTTTTTCACATGAATAATTATAAGCAAGCTACAATAAATTATCATTGACTAAAAGCATTTAAAAGTTAAAAATTCCGAGAAAGACTCAACATTTAATTTAAAAAAATCATACTTTAAAAGTAATAACACTCTCGTAACTATAATTTTTAATTGCAAAGATACTGCTACTTTCAAATATTGAACACATTGGACAAGTGGATTTCTATGTTATTTCAACTTTCAGAGGCCTAAACTATCTAATAGTCATAAAATTTGTGTTCCAGAACAAAATAATTTGATTGATCGCGATATTGAAAAAAAAATTGATTTTCAGCGTTTGTTTGTTTTTTAATAAGCCAATTTTTGGCTTCAAGAGTCTGACTCTTGGAGGCTATTAGACCTCACGATAAGTTCGACTTCCGGGTCTACATAACAATTTACTGATACGGCCTCTTATACCTACAGTAATACTTCTGTCGTGTCTAATATAAAATATCAGCATGTATTTATAAGATATGTATATATACATATATAATTGTAATTTTAATAGTACATTACGATACAAGTGCCGTACCGTATTTTTTGATACAACGTGTGAAAAGTGTGATTTTCAACGCACGTTTTCTACCGAGCGTACGGGAAAGACGCACTTTGCGCACGGAGTATCGAAATGTACTATTCCGCACTTGTATCGTAATGTACTACTCTCGCACTTGTATCGTAATGTACTAATTCCCGTACTTGTATCGTAATGTACTAATTATGGTATCATAAATATAAGTGATTCACTTATATTAGTTTATATTATTGAATAATGTGCTTTATTTATTTGACACCTGAAAATTTATATAGAATTAAAACGATTTCATCAGAAGAGTACATTACTGTTTATTTTAAACATTCAAACTGGATGGTGGATATATTCTAAATATTATCATTTTAACATTGCGCAAAGCGCATTCACTTAAAAGTGTTTCGGCTCATCAGATATTATCTTATGATGCCTTTTTTATTCATGGGAGGGTTGGAATCACGTGAAAACTAACATCAATAACAATAAAAGTGTTTTTCTAATGGTTTTCTTACGGTTTTCTAGAATCCAATCACAAAATAAAGCGAGATAACGTTAATTTGAATTCGAATTCTGTGGATTAAAATAAGTTGAAATAAATCACGTTGGTTTATTTTCGATTCAATGTTTAAATCTTTGTAAAACTTTTAAAATCCTATAAAATTTAAACACATTAGCTTAGCAATTTAATTCGTTATTATAAGTTTCTGCACTGTTACAGTTTTCAAAGCTCTTCAGGAATTAAAATTTAGAGCAAACTCATAAGATGTGATTTATTATTGAAATTGGCAAATTAATTCAAATTTGATGTCAAATTAAAATTACCATTATTAGTTTTCATCATATTTTTTTTCAATTTATTAAAAAATCATAAAAGTATGTTTTATTTAGATTATCATAAAACTAACAGTAGTGGTAAACTGCAGTAACTTACAACGTGTTACAAATTTTTTTATTCGTTTCCTAAAAAGATTTTATACATAGATTAATTATTTGTTCTAGATTCAAAGAATTTCTATGTCGTTTTTAAGAAGGAACCATCCCATGGTTACGTTTCCATTGCGAACCGGCACGGCGATTATGATTGGTTTTAGAAGCTTTTTGTTTATTTCTGTGGTTTCGATTATTCACAGTCTCTTTCGTTTGTCCTTGGTCTTTTGAATTTCCTAAAAAATTTTATTAGTTAAAATATCATTTTTATTGTTTATATTTATATTTATTTGTTCTTACCAACGACACTTGATGTCTGCGAATAAAATACTTTATTTCTTTGTTTATGTTGTCTCCTTTCTTCCGCTTTTGCTCTTAGTATTGCCGGATCTTGCACAAAATTATCTTTATTAATCTGAGCGTCTGCCGAACATTCAACTTCATTCTCGTCATCGTTTTCCTCTACGTCATTCAGTTCACGTTTTCTAAGAATCTATAAATAGAAAAATTTATATATACACACACACTCACACACATACACATTATTCTTAAAATAAACAAAATTCATAAAATCATAATAATATTTTATTAAATAATTAATATAGGAAGATATAGTATTCTATTCAATGTACATAGATTTCGACCGGGGATCTGGATAAAAGAACCTACGAAAAATCTATCGACATAATAATCGCATCATTTCTCTTATTAGAATAAGAAATCTCATGATTCTGGATCAAAAATTCCACGTATGTTGAGGATTTTTAATCAAGGAATGAAAAAATAAAAAACATAATTATAATTTTTTAATATTTACAATATTTGAAATAGACATTTTAGACAGTTAATTAAACAATTGAGGGTTTTGGCTACTCAACAGTTTTCATAAAAAATCTCTGAGAATTTACTAGAACTGTTCGATTGGACTTTGTGAAAACTTAAGTTCACTAAATCTCACATTATTCGTTTTCTTATACGATTGGAGTGTGGAGGAGGATTCATTGCGTAACGCGATGATTTAACTTGGGATAAATTTTGAAAATGAGAACATTAATTTTGATCAAAGCATTTAATCGACAACATGTAAATTATGTATGAAATTTTTATTCGTGGTTTTATGAATACCGAAATATTTATGCTTGCATTAGTTTTTTTATATTATAAACGATGCTTTCTAATGATATGATTAAAGAACCAAGGGTTTGATAAGCATAAAAATAATGGAAGAATAGAAATGAAAATTTTTTGATCTAATAATTTGCTAGTTTATTTTATAATTTTATTTGATCATCTTACCCTAGGTATAGTAAAAGGTCTTGCATCTACTTCTATGACGTCATCTTGTGCACTTGATCCTACATTTTGATCATCATATGTATCATCATACTCATCATCGTATTCACTTGTTATTATGCTATATTTACTGTAGATATTCTTTGTCTCAGCAATATGCGATTTATCATTGAGAAGTTCATTAAAATTTTTATACTTGTCTTTTCTGAGAACAATAGTGAGATTTGATGATTTATTACGTATAAATTGATATATAAAAGTCTTGGCATAAATTGTAATAAGGAATGAAAATAAAACGACGATTTTAGCTAAAAAAATCTAATATTGCAAATATTGGTTTAAGAGATTTTATAATTGAACAGTACCATGATATAAGACAAAATTTGTATCCATATTATAATCAAGAAAACAGTTCCATTTAATAAAGATGGTGAAAATTTTTTTATCAACTCAATTTAATTTAGAATATTACAGTTCCAAATAACAATGTATATATATCTACATGTGTGTGTGTGTGTGTACATACCGTTTGCCTTTATGTATTTTCGAGGTGTCTATAGTATTTTGTGTCATTACATCAAATTCATCATTGTCGTAAATATTCAATCTTTGAACTCCAATAGCAGCATCGACTGTAGCAGATGCTTCCTTAAAATATAATTTAATTTGTAAAAGTGTAAATCATATATTGATATATTAGTGAAATGTAACATGCAAGTATTTTCATTTGATGTCAAACAAAATAGCTCAAAACTGTAGAGGGTAAACTACAAATATGTCTAATTTTCTATTGATAATCTATTAATTTTAAAATCATTTCCAGAATAAAGTGACATAAATAGATTTTTTTCCATTTTAAATTCGTGAAAATGACTTAAAATATAGTCAGTTAGTTCATTATGTACATCAAATTTTTCTTGAAATGTCGATTGGATGTATTATATTATGAGATTGTGTTTATATATGTAAAATAAAATATGTCATTTTATTCTTAAAATCAAGTCTTTTTATGATAAAATATTTGATGTTTCTATTGAAAAGTATACCTCTGGATCCGGTGGTATATAGGGAAGATAATGATCTAAGTTTTTCAATTCATTTGGTAAAGAATCTTCTAATACTGCGTTAATAACTGTTTCTTTATTATAATTGAAATGTTTTAGACATTTCTGTAACGAAAGTGTATCTTTATATAAAACTTTTCTATTGAAATTATAGATGTGTTATATGATTTATTAATACTGCCGATTTCAAGCCATTACCTCTATAAATCCTTCACCAAGATCGCATAAAACATCTTTAATTTCCGAAATAAGAACTAACATTTCCGATTCATTTTTAGTACTTATGGTTGGTAATGAAATGTCATTAGGCGTATTATGTTCGCTAGTTGTGATTTCTTGTTGAATATTGCTAGAGCCGACTGTTGATTCCTAAATTAAATTATATTTAACATTTATTAATTATCAGAATTAGTCCACTCATAATAAAATTATGTAAGTTTATTTTTCTACACATACAGACACTTTTTTAGTTAAAGCTGATATTGTGGAAGTAGCTGGTTCATCCAAGAATGAAAAAATTGAATTTACAATATACTCACATTTTACTGTATCTCTGTTTCATTGATATTAAGAAAATATTTTTGAAATATACCATATATATTCAATTAAAAGAAATAATACTAAATTGAAATTAGTGTGATTCACATAAAATATTTTTAATTATTTCATTAAAAATTTTGTTCTTTTTACACATAATAATTACATGCTTATTATTTGGATTTTTGAATTTACAGTTGAATTCTATAAAAATGATTTATAGATTTTTTCAAGGATACATGTTGGGATTTAATTCTAATAAGATTTGCAAATCATCAGTGATTGGATATAAATTATGATAATCTATAACAAATTCTTTTTCAGATAATGTACATGATAAACTATTCAGCAATTGCTCTATAACTTCTTCCACTTCAGAAGGTGGAAAAGAATCTCTGAAAAATAAAATTTATGATAAGGAATTATTTAAATAAGATGAAATACCGACTTTTTTATATAATATTAAACAGTAACTTACTTCTTAGCAATAACATTTTTTACATCTTTATATACAATAGTACGATAAACATTGATAATCTCTATTCTTGTTATATCAAGTCTATGTTTCAATTCCATAAATCTTGCAAGAGTTTCATCTTTGAATGCTAAATCATTTAATCTTTTATACATTTCTGGCATCACATTGCAATAGATTGATATTAATCTGCAATTGAAGCTGTTTTTAGAGAATTTTTTTAAAGTATTTCCAACATTACTTACTTTGATATAAAATTATCACTGTTGAAATCACATATAGCATCAGGATATATTTCTAAAAAAATATTAATTGTAGATACAATATCTAATAAATATAAGATAATGTCTTCTAAGTCAAATAGGGTGATTTCAACATTAGCTCCCCCTCTATCTGATAAAAGTACTGCCTTTCCTTCTTGATCAGCAGGACAATCTTCAAATTGCCTTTCAATATTTGTTAATGTCTAAAATATAAAACTTATTCTTATAAAAGTTTTTAATAAAGTGTAAAATTAAATATCACAAATAATTAAAATACTACCTTTATTATGAATAAAGCAGCTTCTTGTAAATCATTTTTATATAAAGGTTGTAGAGCAAATGCTGAATTTATCATTTTTACGATAATTTTTTTATTATCACGGCCATATTGTTGACATAAGTCTAATATAATTGGTACTGTTAAAATATATTTGTCATACAACAAACTTGCATGCTCAGATAAAATAATATATTCTGTAGTACTTTCTTTATTTGTCATAAGTCTTGCAAAAATATGAAGAATATTTTTTCTAATTTTATTAATATATTCTTTTATGTCATACTCAAAAAAATTATCTAAATGGAAAAATATTGGTGATTCTTGCAGGAAACTTATAATTGACTTTATTATAGATGTATTATAAACAATATTTGACCAAAATCTAAAAATTAATTTAAACTTATAAAAATGATATAGATATATATTTATAATAACAATAGGACTATTAAATTTCACAAATAAAATTAAACTTACTTGTAGAAAGGCAGACGAAGTAACCAAGTTAAATCATCCAGAAAAAATATAGCTAACTCAAGCCACCTTTCTTTTGCACCAATTATATCTTTACCATTTTCATCAATGAAGATAGGAGGCTCATAAGTTAAAAACTTTTTATTTTCTACCCAATATTCATCCTAAAATATGACATATTTATTTTAATATTGTATTTTTATAATTATTGAATATTTACTGAAAAATTTTACCAAAGCAGGGATAGTTTGCATAATTCCATCGCTTTGGATTACTAATTTCAATTTTTCCAATGGTTTACATTCTGGATTCTAATATATATAAGATTTAGAATATTTAAAAAAATTTATGAGCATAATGATATTTCTCATGCAACATTATTCAAAAATTTTTCTATCACTCACTTGGAATATCACACTTTTATTCGAAGAACAATTATTCATTGTTGAGGTAAACACTTTACCTGCATCAGAGAATAGAGGTAATAAATAGAGTAGACTATTATTTTATTCAGGATCCAGTATATTGGAACTAAATTAATCTCAGTTTGTACAATACAGTATAAATCACACATACACAAAAAGCATTTTCATTCTGCTTCACTAACTCAATAACAATCCAAGCTTATTTTACTTAATGTATTTGAAATGTTTTTATGTTATTTTATTGTCGAGCACATACGGCATAATATCTCATAATATGCTACTATCGCAGAAATTATATAAATCAGAATATACTAATATATATATTATGAAAGAACAAGTAGCCAATGTGTAAATGCAATAATCGTATACTACGGATTACTAGATAGGAGGTTAATACATATGTCAAGACTCAAGTCAAGAAGGTCAAGATTAGGCTGTTTACAGAAGGAATCTGACACAATGAAAATGACACTAATTCTGACATGACAAATATACATAAATGATATTTTAGCTTGAAAAACCCTCGAAATATTTAAATAATCATCTCAGTAGCATTCTTAAGGATCAATTATGATAATAAAATATCTCAATAATTTTTGTGTCAGCGCAGATTTCAAATTACACAGAATGACATGGATAACCGCTTTATTCGTGTTATATATATGATTTAAAGACTAACATTTTACGGAAAGTTGTTAAATGTATTCAATTGCTATTATTATGTTTATAAGACGCTAATTTAAACATCTCGAGTATTTTTTAGTTTAAAAACAACGTTTTACGTACATGTCATATGTCAGAATTCGTGTCATTTCATGAGTGTCAGATTCCTTCTGTCAACAGCCTTAGGTTGAGGTTGTTTACAGAATATGATGATTCTGACACATTTAAAGTGAAATCAATTCTGATTCTAGCTAATTGCTATTTTTAACTGTTTTCAAAATCAAATAAGTATTCAACAGTATATTTAAATATACTGTTTAATAACGGCATTATAGCTATAATAGATTTATAATTAATAGTAATTAATTTCTTTATTTAATAATACGCGCTTTTTGAATACGTTCCAAGATATGTAGGATTGTAAATTAAGGTAGCTCCCTCGATTGTAAGTGGAATTGTTGAAATAATTTTGACAACTGTATTAATTGCCTTAATTGTCCTTGATATCGATGATAATTTCTCATTTTCGATTCGTTAAAGGAAAATGTGTGAAAATCACGATTTTCCTCGGTACATGGAAAGGCTCGTTTACTCTAATAATCATTGATGAATTTTTGTATTTGATAGCTTAAAATGAAGATTTTAATTTCCCTCGACAGCCCCTCAAATCGCATTTCCTATTCGTTGCACAATTTTCAAATAAAAATTATTAATTTTCCTGTTGCGAGTGGCGGGAAAACGGTATCAGTTCATATTTCAGCATTCCGTTTCCAGTGAGGACCGTGTGACGAACCGACGTCACGTATCGTCAGATACGCGAAGTAAAAGCTGTAAACTGCGTGCATAAGAAAATAGAAAGTAAGTGCGAGCGTTAAAATAAATATTTGAACTTGAATAGACATAGTAGGCTAGCATAAACCGTAAAATGTAAATGGTCACTTGGGTGCTACGACACAGCGGGTCATAAAGGCTGGCTCAAAAAAAAAATAAGGAAAGGAAAAACAATTTTTTTTTTGACGACTCTCAAATCTTCAAAATTTAATGGGTTTTCTGAAAGCCCATTAAATTTGTCACCATTGCGAACAGCTACGCCGCACGTGTGGACCATCAGCGAGGAGAGAAGAGAGGCCGAGACTGAGAGCTAGGGAAAGAGAAAACCAGCCTCCTAATTCGCCAGTGTCCAGAAAAGGGACGTCCCCTTTTTTCCTTCCCCGCACGCGCGAATGGCAGTGAGCAACATCAAGCGAAGCTGAGACGCCGCATCGCGGGTTCAGACTCGACTTCGCTACCGAACCGTCTAGTTGGCCCTGTTGTTTTCTGTATCATCATATAAAATATATGTAAAGGCTTACGGGTAGTTAAGTCCTCTTTCAAAGTAAATTTTGTCTTTTCCTTTTCCCTTTCCCAAGTTACCTAAATACGTTTAATTTCTATTTAAATTCGCGTGAGTTGCGCGCGTAAACCAAAAGCACAGATATAAAGGTGAAGATATTACAGTGGTGGTAGCGGTCTAGAATTCGCAAAATTCAAACGTGAAATCATCGGTGGCCTTCGTTATCAAGTTCAGCAACGAGAATCACTAAGCGAACATCTACAAGAAGAGAGAAGAAATACTTCACGGAGGCACGGCTAGGTGTAAGCGGCAAGTGAACCATAGTGCGTGCGTGCGAACTTTGACGATTCTTCGAGATTTTGGATACATCGCTGACTATTACGGGTATTTACTTTGACTGTGACTGTAAACGTGCAGTTTGTGCAAGTGCCACTACCCACTCCGTGGTTTTATGCGTGTTTCCCACGGAGCGCAGGGTGAATGTCAGGGTAAGCGATTTTTGCGACCACGCCACACAGATCGTCCAGAAATCGCAGACAGCAAATGCCGTATCAGCAAAGTAAGTTCTTATTTTACCAAGTGACCATCGCGATTAGGGTACTTTATTTCGTATTTCATAAGGAATTATGCGTAAATGTAAATCGATCTAACAGCTCTGTGTTGATGGTGTGTCATTTTTTTACCTTAAAATCTTTATTATATAAATGATTTTCTTCATTTTATGTCTAGACATTTTCAATTATTTTTGAATTTTCATTAATCTTAAATTCATGACATAGTAAAATTTACAGTCCATAAAAAGCGGACTCACTAAACGTAGAGTAGATTGGTTATTTTTATAAATACACTGATTAAATAAATAAACTTCATAATAACTTAAATATTCATTTTAAGATATTACAGCCGTATTTGTGTAAGGAAATGTGCAGATCGCGTTTGAAACTGCGCGGGAACGTCAGGAGTTGTCCACCGGTGCTGCAAGATCCCTTTGACTCTACTGCAATCCTCTGCACTCGCTATATAGAGACCAGGTCGGAATGCGCGAGGAGAGAAGGCACAAGAAAACAGTGTTTCGGAAGACTAGGTTTTATTACTCGGACACTAATTACACGGAAGCTCTGTTGCCACCGCTGTTCGCACAGTAACCAGACTGGTTACACAGAATTTATATTGCGACGTTCGGATAGTCTCCTGTTATCCGATACTTGTTGGAACCAAACTTGACAACATGCAGAGTGTTTGCGTAAGGGCTGCTAGAAGGCCTTACAATGCCCATCTGCTGTAAGAGGCTGAACTCGACTTTGGCGGCTTTGAGTTTATCCCTCAGCAACTTTCGTGGCCTGCAAAACACAGGCGGACCAAGCGTCACTATGTGGTGCTTGATTGATGCTGTCGAGCCAGTGATGGGGTCATCCTGGGCGGCAAAACGGTCTTGAAAGCGCGCAACCAGCGACTTTACAGTCTCGTCGTGCGCCGGTGAGGCTGACGACAGTGGGGTTAGAGTTGAGAAGGTGTGCACATCTGCATGCTTGAGAACTCCCGGAATTGGGCGTAGTGAGAATTCGTCGATGAGGCGTTGTCGCTTGAGATCCGGTAAAAGTCCAAAGAACGACAGAAAGTCAGCGCCTAAGATGGGCGTCTTGATGTCTGCCATGATGAAAGACCAGGTCAACTTGCCGTCGAGGCCTAGGTCGATCTGGGTCTGGTGTCGACCTAACGTTTTGATTGGTGATCCGTTCGCAGCAGTGAGCAGGAACAGCGTTGAAACCATTGAGCCGCTGTTAACCAGGAAGCGCGTGATGGAGATGTAGTCCATTATATGGAGGCGGTTCTCGGGCCAGTAGTTGGCGTCCACGGGTTCAACGGCGCTGAGGTTGCTGCAAGGGGCTCGACCAGGCAGCAGCGTTAGCCGTTTAAATTCTGCGGCAAGGGCTGGCGCTGGTGGTTGCTGACGCTAGACCACGCGCACGATAGGTTGCACCTAGCAGCGGCGGCGCCGAAACGGTTGTGGTAGTAATAGATGCCACCGGTATGTGGCCTCGATCTTGAGGTAGAGCGGACTCTGCGCTGGCTGGGCTGGCTCTGCTGGCCGGGTCTTCTAGAACCTCCGGCCGGATTGTCGACCTTGACAAGGATTTCTCTTGACACTGAAATCAATTCAGAGAGTAAGTTCCTAATTTCAGAAAAATCCTGAGCATGGTGCTGGACTGCCTGAAAGGTGGGCGTTTCACTACCAAGACTGACAGGTAAAATTCCAGGGTCTAAAATAGCGTCGGCCGCATCCAGGAGCTCCTGCGGCGGTGACTTCGCCTTGAAGATTTTGAGTGTGTTGCAAGCGTGCAGAGGCAACAGTGTGAGCCATCTTTTCTTCAACAGGTCCTCTGTGGCGTTGTTTCCGGCAAGCTCGGATATCTATCTGTAGAGCTGGGAGGGTTTCTTGTCTTCCAACTGCATGCAGGTGAGAATTTGCTCTAACTGCTTTTCGGCGGAATCGGCGAGGCGTTCCAGAATCCGATTCTTGAGAGTCTCATACTTGTTCTCCGCCGGAGGGTTGCGAATGATATCGGCCACCTCACTGAGCGGCACGTGGTTGAGGGCTCGGATCACCAAGTGGAATTTGGAGTCATCACTCTTGTTCCGATTCACGTTGAAATCCGCTTCCACTTTAAAGAATCAAAGCTTTGGGTTGTCCGGCCAAAAATCCGGCATCTGAGATTTAACGATTGAAGCTATCTCGTGCTGCTCGTTAGCAGCGGAAGAGTTGGTCATCTCGTCGTCGTCGAAGCTGAGAGTCCGAGCAGCCGAGAGGTGTTGAAGTCGCTGCGATGAGAGTAATGGAGAGAGAAAATTGTGCCGAACACCCGAACTAAGCATCGAATTGTCGGAGCTGTCCGACGACTCCTTAGATTCGCCGATCAGAGTCGATTCAAGGTCACCGGAGTAATGCCAGCGTAGTGGGCTGTGCGGCGTCCGCACGCTCTGTGACTGCACGTCGTATAATTGCCTTCACTCGTTCACTTACACCATTCACGCAATCGCCTCTCTCTCTTTATCTCTCTCTCTCTCTCTCTCTTAACGCGTCGGTGGAGTTCTCGCGATCAGCCGCGAATACGGCGATAACGGCGAAGCCCTCCTTTAGTACCTCTCAATCTTATTGTTGTACCGTGCTCCCGTATATCTCTCCGCACGAGCGAAGGCATGCGGCCGTGGAGAACGACGCGTTAATCCGCATCGTCTCTCTTTAGTTTTATATCTAAGTAGTAATAAATACAGTCGAAGGTTATCGAGAATAATTTCTGTGTGCACCCATAATTCTCTTCCTCTCAAGCTATCACCCATCACGCCAACTTCGTGACGAGGCCCA